TATATGGCAACAAGGATGATGGAATGGGTGGATGCAAGAATGAAGTTGTGTTTGAATTAAGTACTTAATCTTTCGCACAATTTTTGTTTACTCCGATGGATTTTTAAATAATGTTTTGAATTAAATATTTTTTTAAAAAATAAGATGTGCTTAGATGTCAATTTAGTAGTAATTTGGTTTGATGACTCATATATTCGGGTTATTTAGATTGAAGTGTCACGTTATGGAAACTACAACAATAGAGGGAAACGACTACAGTTCTAAGTAAACTTTAAAATCATAATTATTATGTCATCATTGTTATGTACTTCCTCCGTCCACCTAAGATCTTCTCATTGTGCGTTACAAGGTTTGACCGACTTTATTTTTAATTTAATTTATTTGAATATTGGGATAAAATTTTAATATAAAATCTATATAGTAATAAACTACATGAAAAGTTCTACAAAACTAGAGGTGACAACAATATATTATTTTATGAAATGAGTAGTAAAAATAAACAAAGTGATCTAAGTTTGACCCTATAAATAGTGTCTGAGAAGATCTATGGCAGACAGATGAAGTATTTGATTACTTTAATATATTTAAGATTGAAACTTTATTTTAAGTTTTTAATTGATTACATTATTTATTTTATGATTTTTAAAAATTTTACATTTTTAAGTTAAAATACAATTTTAAATTAAATATACCAAATTGGTACAAAATCTTATTGAATATTGAAGGATACAATCCCTATTTATAGGGATTACGTACATAAGAGAGTTCTAATCATAGTAGGAGAACAACTATAGTAACATTACAGTAAGGAAAAATAATATGATAAGGAAAGTAATAATTAAATATAATATTTATTTCATATTATCTAATATTCCTATAGAAATCACCTTAAATAGGACTAAAACATAGTGAAAAGTACCAAAATAGGACTTTCATGTTTTTTCCCCGAAATAGGATTTTGCTCTGTGGTAATGTGACTTTGCATTGTGGTAATGTGGCAGTGTACATGTGCACATTACTATACTTATTTTGGTAATGTATATGACCATGTTTGATAATGTAAGTCCTATTTCGGGAATAAAAACATGGAAGTCCTATTTTGGTATATTTTCAATGTTTTAGTCCTATTTTGGTCTTTCTCCCATATTCCTAACATTTTCCCGCAAGCAAATCATTGGGAACGAGGAGCAGCTTGGAGCATGCATGTATACTGGAACTGAGCAAGCAGAAGTAGTTTTTATGAGGATAATATATAGAAGTAGAGAATCAGATCTTCATTGCATGACAAACGAGCTTGAAATTACATTTGATGAGTTTTTTCTTCAGGTAAAAGTGTTGACGATTGGAGCGAGGGTGAGGAGTTTTTTTTCTCTTTGTGGGGCGTTCTCTGCTTCTCTATCACTTTACATGCTGAAGGAGAAAATCATGTTAAAATCTAGTCCAAAATCAAACCTACTCTATGGGTCTGTTTGGTTGGAGGGTGGGGAGAAGACCTCAATGTTTTATTCTTGATCCCTTCCCTCCCACCCTTTTTGTTCCCTTTGAATTGGACAGAATCCCTCATATGTGCCTCACACTATTTGAAATTTCCTTGTACTAGTCCCAGCTATTCTTTTCCCTTCTTCTGCGCTAGGTGATCGTCATCCCATTTTCCAAATGTATTTTTTATTTTCGTCTGATCATAGACAATATGAAAGTTAAGGCTAACAAAATCAAGAAAAGTATTCGAACAAACCCTAACCTTCTCCTTCTCTCTCGAAAGTTTCTTCTTCTCTAGATCCCAGTCAACTATAGGAGAAGTGCATATTTTTCTACAACGCCTCTCTATCACTTGTCTACTGTTGCTAATCTTTTTCTTCTTCTTCCAAGTTGAATAAAATTTGACTTGATCATATCTCTTTTGGTTGGTGGTTGTTCTCAGATTTGATTGTGTTCTCTTTGATGCTGGTGTTTCTCTCCGCCCTTTTGTTGGTATTTTGCTTTTGTTTGTTTGGTCCCAATTTAGTTGTCCATATTGTGAAGTGCATATTTAGTGCTTATGTTATTGTCACTACCATGTCAAGCCAGTGGGATCAACTTCCAAAATTGTGGGTTCTTTATACATGAACTAGAAGTATAATTCTGAATGGATTGTTGACAACATACTATATGATGAGTTTTCATTCTTAAGATATCTTTCTTACTGGACGAGTATATAGACCCTCATTGTAGAATTTGTTGAACAACTTACGCACCTCTAGAGGGGGGGTGAATAAAGGTGTTCTTCAAAAATAAAAACTTTTGGAAGATTAAACAAAAAATTCGCAGGATTATGCCAACCACAAGAAGACAAAGAAGAAGAGAAGGAGCAACACACGATGTATACTGGTTCGGCCTAAATGCCTACATCCAGTCCCCGAAGCAACCGTGCCCATGCCTTCACTAACCCGTCAAACTTAACGGAGTTTGACAATCTGAATACAACTCGAGAACTTGATTTCACAAGCCTCTTATCTTACCACCGAAGTTTTGATTTCACAAAACTCAGGATTTCTTCCACCTAACGTTTGATTTCACAAACCGTTAAGATTTCTACCACTTGGTGTAATCCCAACACCAAGAATACAAATCCCTTTCAATAAAGTAAGAAAACAAACCGCAACCGAGTAATTCTCCCAACACGGAGTAGATTGTTGCAAATACAATGAAGTCCTTTAGAATATGGCAATATCTCTCAAAGACTCAAGCAATGAGGAAAAACTCAAGCAAGAAATGACTTAGCAATCAAAACAATTGCCTTGCTTAAATATAAGGAGGGGATTGAGTAGAATCTCTTTGGATATTCAAAGGATATGTTCTTCAAAGTGTTCTAAGTGCTCTTTTTAAAGATAATCTCGAAAGTAGATAGTTTATAGAAGTTAGGGAGTGGATAGGGATGAAAAGCATTCAAAAAACTAGCCGTTTGGTAGTTGAAACTGTCGACTTATTCGAACAACTCAAGAACTATTCGAACAGTTTGGATCAATCGCGTTGCTTGAAAAACCAGTTCCTATTCGAATAAATGGTGATTTATTCGAATAAATCAGGTTGAAAAACCAGGACTTATTCGAATAAGTGGTGGTTTATTCGAATAAAACAGGTTAATCTCAGTCACATGAAAGATCACAACTTATTCGAATAAACTAAAAATTATTCGAATAGAAAGGCAACTTCCCCACACAAAGGCTGATTTAAAATGTGTTTTAAAGGTAGGATGATAAGGGAATGAACCTTAGAAATTCCATACTCTTTAACACATAATCTAAGACCTAAAACACTACCCAACTAATGAAACAACCTCTCCGGTCTCGTTCCTTCCACCGATGCTCAAGTCTTTTCTTCACGGACGGATATGAACTTGTTGTAGCTTTGATTTTTAGCCTTGATGCACAATATGATGATGATGTTTTGTCACCCTTTTGTCATTATCAAAACCTAAAAGACAATGAGCAAAGGACATTGCAAATATATATATTCATGATAGCACATTGTCCAACAGAATCTGTTTCGTCTGTTCCAACTGTCTTTAGTTCAATAAAATTTATAAGTCATATTTTCTTTGTAATTTCATTTCAGAAGTCTCTTATTGATTGAAAGTGACTTTGGTCTTTTGTATAAATTTATTTTTACTTGTTATTAAAAAAATCATAAAAACCCATCTAATTGTAGAGAATATTAGTGAAAAATGAAATATACAAAGTAATTATGCATATACCTTTAACCTCTTTGCTTTGCCTCATTCAACAAACAATCTTTGATAAAAAGACAACATCCTACTACATTCATCGAAGGAAATGGATGATAAATTTCCTTGAATTGGCTAGGCTAGATATAACAGATTAAAAGGAAAATTTACTTAAATAATACTAAAACATAGTGATGTTCTCAATATAGTATCATATATTTTTATTTCCCAATGTAGTACTACTGGTCATTGTCCGCTGGTCATTGTTCAAGTAAATGTCCAACGTCACTAGACATTGTTCAAACTAAATGTCCACCATCACTGGAGACTGTTTTCGCCACTAGACATTATTCAAGTACTATTTAAGGAATAAAAAAATAAGTACTATATTAAAAAATGACATGTTTTTTAGTTCTTTTTAGTATATATGTCACTAGATTAAATCTGCTATCTCTTTAACATATGGGCCAAATATCACTAATTCTCTTGTCTTTCCCAGCAAATTATATCGTACATCCAGTTGTACCATAAATTTGGTACAACCAGCTAATTGAAGAACAAAAATTAATGAAACGGAAGTCGCGGGAATTGAAGCCGCTCCTCTGTTTGCCGGGTCGGGCCACCGGAGATGAAAGACATGGAGCAACGAAGACGGAAGACGATGGAGCAGCGAAGATGACGAGAAGCGACGGTGGCAAAAATCCATTGAAAACAATGGAGAAGGAAGATCGAGCAGCGAAGGTTGCCGTGGCGTTACAGACAGAAGTTGATCGAAGAAGAAAGTTGTGTTAGATGGGAGGAGAGGCGCCAGATGAAAACCCTAGTAGGGTTGAAGCGCAGAGAGAAATGTTATTTATGGTATGCGTTTTATTATATTTGAGAATGAACATTATATTATTTGAGAATGAGTACTATTTTAATTTAGAATGAACACTACGCTATTTGTGGAAGAATATTATAATTGTAATGAATAAATGTGTGAAAATGAGTACCACATTATTTCAGAATGAGTACTACGTTATTTTTAAATGAGTACCACAGTATTTCAAAATAAATAGTTATGTTTGTACAAAAACGAATACTACTATACTTCAAAATAAGTATTACCCGAATGTACATATCTCTAAATACATCCGATTGTATCCCCCAACCAAAGAGGTAAAGAGAAACTCAAAAAAATCCACTTGAGACATGTGTGGACCAAGGGAGTAAATGCTTTGGAGTACATGTAAGCCCCACTAGTGGGTCCTCCCGTTTCCTCAAGTGTAACGCAGGAGATTCCATTCCATCTTATACTCTATAAAAACTTACTCCCATTGCTGGCATCCATTTCTCTCTCTCTCTGTCTAAACATCAGAATCATGTGATTTCTAGGCGTTGTTTAATCGGCATAGATATCTGCAACTATTTAGCTTGAAGACGGAGATTTCCTTAAGCTAAGTTGCAGAGAGATTCGATACAGTCAGCACAATGAGAGAGAGACCTGATTTGTTGTTGGATCTGAATTTGGAAGCTTTAGTTTCATCTGACCCGACCCGCGACGAACCCGGCCGGGAAAACGCCGCCTCCGCGATCGCCAGCCATGAGTCTGCCTCGTCGAACACCGCATCGTCTTCCTCCGTCGTCAGCTCCGACGACCCGCCGGCCTCCGTTGCCGAGGAGTCGAACAGCTCCTCGCCCCCTGGCTTTGCTCGCTGTTGCGATTCGACTCTCACCTTCTCCATACTGAAAAGCGGATTCCGTATTGAGGATGAAATCAGTGAGACCAGCGTCTTAGTCACCAGGCAGCTTTTGCCTGTAGCGGGAGAGTCGATTTTGTCGTTTGCTAGGCCTTCTCCCCCGCCTCATCAGAACTGGTTGAAATTGTCCGTGCCGGAGACAGGTGGAGGGGTGGAAGTGGGAATTTATGAGCCGCTGCCGCCAAGCATGCAGCCCCTCCAGCCAATTAAGAAGAGCCGCCGTGGACCTCGTTCCCGGAGCTCACAGTATCGCGGTGTCACGTTTTACAGGCGGACTGGAAGATGGGAGTCGCATATCTGGTCAGTTCATATTATAAGATTTTCACAATCATAACTTACAGGAGTATTATTTAGCTGAGATATACTGGAATAAGCGTAATCATAATGTCATATCCTTAAAATAAGAAGTAGAAGACGGTTTTGTGTAAAGTTTTCTGGAATTGCCCTATTGTGCCAACAACTGATATGATTAGAGCTTGTAATTTTGCAGGGACTGTGGGAAGCAAGTTTATCTGGGTAGGCAAACAGATTAATATGAGTTGCAATATCGTGTTTTCTTCTTATGAACATCATGGTTGCCTTTGAAATGTCTGATTTTGGGTCGGTTTTTGATAATCTGATGTTTAATTTGTCAGGAGGATTCGACACAGCTCATTCTGCTGCTAGGTGATGATTGAACCTTGTCTATGAACTATGGAGTCCTTGTCAAACTTCCAAGCAGATCTCCTGACTCTTTTTTTCTTTCTTTCCTTTTTTTGGAATTTAGGGCATATGATCGCGCTGCTATTAAGTTCAGAGGAGCTGATGCCGACATCAATTTTCAATTAAGTGACTATGAAGAAGATATGAAACAGGTGGATGAAAGTATTTGTTGGTAGCATTATTGGGCTGTTTTGTGATATGAGGTTCAAGCATGAAGGCATGTTAACCTTGGTGACCTAATTTATGCGCAGATGAAGACCTTGAGCAAAGAGGAGTTTGTTCAAATTTTGCGACGCCAAAGCACTGGATTTTCTAGAGGTAGCTCAAAATTCAGAGGAGTAACCTTGCATAAATGTGGTCGGTGGGAGGCTCGGATGGGTCAATTGTTAGGGAAAAAGTAAGAAATCCTTTTGAGTTTGTTTGCTAGGTTATTTGACTAAAATGACCAAGTTTTCTTAAAGAAAATGGGTGGTAACGTCCATTTCTCGACCAAATGAGGAAGTAATTTTTTTCCTCTTATTCTGCTTAATTTTCACCTTCAACTCTCACTGATGATATGTTCGTACTTTATATAGTAGTACAATTCATATAGTTCTTTTTGGAATACATCCATAAGGACCCTTCAGTTTATGTATGTGCTGCTTAGCTGCAGGTATATGTATCTTGGGCTATTCAATTCTGAAGTTGAAGCTGCAAGGTCATTGCGGTTATGAACCCATACTCTTGATAATGAGATTTTGATCTCTGATATTTTTATGGAATTCCATCCAACATAATACTGTTGTTACATGTACTTGTTCAGGGCATATGACAAAGCAGCCATGAAATGTTATGGAAGGGATGCGATGACCAACTTTGAGCCTAGTGCATATGAAGGGGAGATAAATAGGGAAAGTAGTGTTGGAGGTATATTCAGTGCATTTTTCTCTGTTTTCCATGTATTATAATTGTAACTTGCAAGCATAGTTAAATCATTAAGCAATTTTATATCGCTTATATTTTTGTTGATAGTTCTTTCTTCGTAAAACACTAAAACTTTGAGTTAGGAGGTAGTGGGGAGGAAAGTAGAAGCAATGAAAATAATGCATTTGATATACTTTCTATTGTACTCCGTAATTGGATATATATTTATAACATTAATAATGTAAAATAAGTGTTTTTAAAAAAAACTTGAAACAGAAATTTCAATTAAAAGATCATTCCTCCAATATACCCAAGAATTTGGGAATAAGATGTCAGATGTGACTATGCGAGGGGTTTGGAGGAGTCCATAGCTCTTCCACTTTCCTCCCTATCCCTCCCAACTCCCCAACCAAACACAGCCAACACTTCCACTTTTATCCCCTTCCCTCCAGTGTCCTTCAACCAAACATGGACTTCAAGCCTTGGAAATGACTTCACATACTCTTGAATCACTTCTATTGATTGCTCTATTTAATAAACCACTCTGTAATATGTTTTGTCTCTTGGGTGCAGGTACCAACGAGTCCAATGAGAGTCTTGATCTGACCCTTTGGTTTTCTCCACCATTGGACCACCTTCAAAGGCCTGAGAATTCCAAAGAGTTGCTTTCAAATTTCGAAGCTTGTGAATTGTCTCCTTTTAAAAGATTGAAGGTATTTTCCCCTATTTGAAATCTTGGTTAAGCCAATTCTATTTGCATTAGTTCCTTCATTGAGGTCATGCATATGTCTCCTTTTAAAGGGTAATACTCAGAACTTACACTGCCATCACAGAATTTCTCTGATGGCATTTGCCTTGTAGTCTTCATACTTTTCTTGCCATGCATTTATACATTCTGCACCTCTTTCCCTAAAATAAAATGAATGCAGTTATTTTTGTAATCCCCTCTTTTTTGGTGTGCTTAGCTTATTTTATCAATGCTATTATAGGTTCAGTGCACCCCCGGCACACCGTATGGTCCGGCAATGTCATTCAAGTATTCCAGCTTGGGTGGCATGCAATCTGGGCCTATTCCAAACAATGAGGTAATTTCCACTTCCATAAAATGGCAATAATTTTATTTTTCAAAAATATAAAATGATCCCATGACCTAATTGAGTTGCTGTTTGCTGTGTACCAACTACAATTTGCTGATATTTATGCTATTAAGAAAGAAAAGCAGGGAAGAATTACAATGGTGTAACTGAAACAGGGTTTCTACTTTCTATGAACGAACTAGCTTGAACACTATAGTACATTAACTTGGTAATGTGGAAAAGGTAATGTGAGATAGTCATTAGGAAAATGAGGTAATGTTAGGGATAACGTTTAATGCCGTAGGTCTCTTTTAAGATTACCTTATATCACATACCGTGAGGCGTGAACCAAGAAAGAAAATAGCTTAAGGTTATCTCACATTACCTTCCAAGAGGTAATTGTATAACCTCGAATACAGTACATTTTTTCAACCAAACGCTGCCCATTTTTATGATGGGGCATTGCAGTCTTTTTATAATGCTTAAAAATCTGAAATACCAAACATGGCTGAGAAGATAATCATATCAATTATTTGTGTTTTCCGATAAACAGAAGGGACTATTTGGAATGAGGGTAGAAACAACATCTTCTCCAGCATTTTCAAATGGGCGATGGCATAGTCAGGGTGTGAACCCTTCAGTGCCACAGTTTCCTTCTTCTGCAGCATCATCAGGATTCTCTTCCATTAATTCTTCTTCCATATTCACATACCCTTCGGCTGATCATCCGCCGGGTAAGGCATCCCTTCAAAACCATCTGATGACCCTTACCCGCAACTAGAGGGATTTGCTTGTGGCCTCAGCACAGCAATGTATGGCCCACATATTCATGCCCTACACAATTCATTTTCTCTATATTGTGAATCATCATACTCAAGTGTATATAGGACTATCATGCTCTCCCCTCCTATGGGGACAATGTGTAGGGTTATCTGCAGTCATAAGGATGACCAGTTTGTGCTTTTAATTATCCCTTACAAAGACATGAAGGTAAACCAGTAAAATGGTAGCTGGTGATTTGTGAAATTGACAATGAATAGAGAGACTTGTTCTCTTTCCAAGATTGTTAAGCCTTGGGGCATGTGAAGAAATTAAAATCCTTTGTCCTCTTATATCTCTATATCATGTCTATTTTCATTTATTTTCTTTTCCCTAAATATATGCCTACAAAATTTCTACATTTTTTGGTCACCTAGTCATAGGTAATGTAATATTTGCAATTATTGAGACTAAAGAAAAGGGGGTTCTGAAATTATTCAATCTAGGCACTACACACAGGTGGATATGAAGTGTTCATGCATATATGAATGGAGAGCATCAACTGGGATCTGCATTTCTTGTGTTTTGCAGTTCTCTAGTGACAGATTTACGGGGAAAATAAAAAGAAAATGATCTTTTCATTACTCCATCTATTCCAAAAAAAAAAAGAACTGGACATTGTGGTTTGTGTTGTTTAGCTATGTTGTTTTTAATTTAATTTATTTAACATAATATATCTAAGCTAGATTCTATGGTAGTTAGGTGGGATAAGAATCATTAATTTTATGAACGGAATACAGTAGATCTGTCAATTAGAGCCTATGTCATATTAGGACATTTTACTCTAATGTCAAAAGAAGCAAACTCGTATGTTATAAGCTCTATTTGTGAATGACATGGTTCCGTTGCCACTGGCTTTTTGGAACGCTAATAATGCTTTGTTTGCAAAATTGAAGATTAAGTAATTGCCTAATCACCACACATTTGAAGGACATGGGATTAGGGTGTGGTGCAGAGGTAGGACGAAGGTGAGAGATTTGTGAAATGAAAATCATTAATTTCATAAATGGGGTAGCTTAGACATTCCAAAAAGCCAACGAAACCAACCCAGTTTGTGAATAGTAATTATACTTTTTTTAACAATTTTATTGGGGAGAAAACTATGAACATGCTAATACTCCTTAGACTGAGGAGTTTGTGTCATGAAGATTAGGTTATAAGGTATGTAATTTTTGTATGTTAATTCTACATATTTTTTCATATAAACTGATTTGATATTAAATTGAGTGAAATGTTGAAAATGAAAAACAGGGATATAAATTGTGACGGAAAGAGTAATTTATTAAATGATTTTGAGTTTCTCTTCATCCTAAAATAGGATTCCTTTTTTTATTTTTTTTAAGTTTCCAATATTATAATGAGTACAATTATTAAGAAATATATCCAAAAAATGGATTGTAAAATTAGGACATAATGAGTAACGAATAAATATTTAAAATAATTTTACAGTCCAATACATGAATTTATTACAACGTATAGTTCACTTAAAGTTGGTGTTATTCGAACAATACATAAATTAATATAGATGTAAATGTTTACATATCATCGTTAATTGACAAGTCCGCATTCCCATTAAGACTAGCTCGGAACCAGTGGCGGATCTAGGATTAAAAAGTACTGGGGGCCATGGGGTCATGAATTAAATGGTCTGTTTCAGTTTTTGATAATTGATTAAAGTTATTTTCAATATAATTTTATTTGAAAACTGTGCTGGAAATAAAAAATAAAATTTACATACTGCGTATCTAAAAACTAAATAAAAAATATACGACATAACTGTATTATTTTATCAAATGAGTAAGTAAAAATATAAAATTTAAAATGAAATTTTTTTAAAAGTTTCTTAATGATTTATACAATAAATATAACTTATTAATTTCAATATCATAAAACCTTCTCATTTTCACTTTTACAAAATTTAAGAAAGATGTTGAAAAATAAAAGTAATTATTACAATTGATTAAGTGAAGAGATAAATTTTGTAGCGACTATTTTTTAAAAAAGAAAAATGCAGATTTTAATTGGATGCATGAAAAAGAAAAGTAAGATATTTTTGTGAGATGTAAGGAGTATGATATATTTTTAGGTTATAAATAACTCACTACAATCAATTCAAACTAAACACAATCCCATTTAATTCAAAATAGAGCAAGTAAACTTAAAACATTTTTTGATACCGTACCCCAATATTATTTTCACAGTTAAACATTTTCAGATCATTTTTTGATACCGTATCCCAATATTATTTTTAGTAAATACACCGGCCTTAACCTTACGATCAAGTTACGCCCTTCAATCTTTCGTAGTAGTTAGAGAGTCGGAAGTCACCAAACGGTTTGTTGTTGTTGTTGGATGATCATGGGGTGTACCCTTTGCAAAATTTCGAGTAGATGTTTTTGTTTTTATCAGTCATGTCATTTGTAATGTATTATCACTTAATAATAATGTTTTAATATTATTTAGTTCGTTTTCTCCTTATCAATAACTATTATATATGAATATTATCTTTGTCCTTAGAATTTCCTAAGGTATTTAGAAGGGAATTTTTTTCTTTATGATATAAACTCTTAATTAAAGTTTAATTAATGACATTTATAATAAAGAAATGCTCCCCGTGCATCGCACGGGTACGATGCTAGTCTATTCCAAAAAAAAAGAACTGGACATTGTGGTTTGTGTTGTTTAGCTATGTTGTTTTTAATTTAATTTAATTAACATAATATATCTAAGCTAGATTCTATGGTAGTTAGGTGGGATAAGAATCATTAATTTTATGAACGAAACATCGTAGATCTGTCAATTAGAGCCCATGTCATATTAGGACATTTGACTCTAATGTCAAAAGAAGCAAGCTCGTATGTTATAAGCTCTATTTGTGAACGTCACGGTTCCGTTGCTACTGGCTTTGATAGAATTTAAGATGGGGTATGGACTATGGACAACTGGATTGGGCAATAAGACACGTGGGCTGAACCACATAAAAGATTGAATTCAATCTATTGGTTAGTTTAACTCAAAAGCTTATATACAGATTATTTTGCTCTTGAACTTCCGATGTGGGATGATACTCTAACACTCCCCCTTAAGTGGACAATCGGGTCATTTTGAATCTAACCGGTTGACCACTTGCAAATGAACTCCCATTCCCTTGACTTCTTTTTTTTAGCGCCAACACCTAAATGACCACGAGCCACTGGGTATGGACTTCCAGACGAGCAATCATGTTAAATAGGCCACAGGCCGTTGGGTACATACTCCATATGGACAACTGGGCTAAAGACTAACGGGCCGCTAGGAATGAAGTCTAGATGGACACCTTGACAACGAGGTGGGCCAAAACCTGCTCTGATACCATGTCGAGGAACCAACTCAACCAAAATCTCAAGCTTGTGATTGTGGCGCAAGAATGATTGTTATATACTCTGATGGGAAATAATACGTGGCTCGGTCCACATTTCCCAATTATTTACGAAGAATAATCAAACTGGGCATGTTTAATAAAATAGAGGAATAAAGGAATATTCCCTGAAGATGCTTCAGCTACTCCTATAAAAGGAGGAATCTCCCTCAATGTTAGGGGGGCAAAACTCACCCTCTCCCTTGCACATTACACTTTCTCTCTCTAGAACTTTATATATTTTCTTCTTCAAGAGCTTGTAGCTCCACCATTAATGGCTTCCGAGCCCGTTTCATGTATCGTGTACACACCCCCGATGTTAATAAAATCCCCCGTTGGCAAGGTACCGCCAAAAAAGGCCCATGGTTTTCTCCCGATTTGGGTTTCCACGTCAAAATTCCCGTGTTTATATTTTGGTGTATTTTTTAGACTAGTTTATCGTTTTTGCCGGGCTAAAAACGATATACCGGTCGATAATTTACACCATCATTTTGGCGCCGACCGTGGGACCCGAACAAAAAGTTGTGTTTTTTGTTCGGCCAATTTTTTCTCTTACCACACGAAGTGAGCAAAAATAAAAAATAAGAGGGAGAGAGCCATCTGTACAAAAAAAAGAGAGGAAGAGAGATGCTGGGGAAGGAACGAAAAAGATAAGGGAAGAAAAGGAGAAAAAATTAGGGGCAAAACTCACCCTCTCCCTTGCACATTACACTTTCTCTCTCTAGAACTTTATATATTTTCTTCTTCAAGAGCTTGTAGATCCACCATTAATGGCTTCCGAGCCCGTTTCATGTATCGTGTACACACCCCTGATGTTAATAAAATCCCCCGTTGGCAAGGTACCGCCAAAAAAGGCCCGTGATTTTCTCCCGATTGGGTTTCCACGTCAAAATTCCCGTGTTTATATTTTGGTGTATTTTTTAGACTAATTTATCGTTTTTGCCGGGCTAAAAACGATATACCGGTCGATAATTTATACCATCATACTCTAACACGCTTTTTGGAATGCTAACAATGCTTTGTTTGCAAAATTGAAGATTAAGTAATTGCCTAATCACCACACATTTGAAGGACATGGGATTAGGGTGTGGTGCAGAGATAGGACGAAGCTGAGAGATTTATGAAATAAAAATCATTAATTTCATAAATGAGGTAGCATAGACGCTCCAAAAAGTCAATGGCACTATTGCCTATTAGGCAACGAAACCAACCCAGTTTGTGAATAGTAATTATACATTTTTCGACAATTTTATTGGCGCATTGAGAAAACTATAAACGTGCTAATACTCCTTAGAATGAGGAGTTTGTGTCATGAAGATTAGGGTATGTGGTATGAAAGAAGAAAAATAGAGGTGTCGGGGTGTGTAAAAGTATATGACATGAAATGACAAAAAAATGTATGATGTGGTGGGCATTTAGTAGTTACACCCCATCACATTTCATACTCCATATTCTTAATGATAAATGAGTTAGATACTGGGTCAACCGAATCCTAAAGAGTACTGAAAATAAATATTTTTCTTTGTAATATGTGCTCTTACAGTATATTTCTTCCGTCTCAATTTATAGTGCATATTCACTATTCACAGAGTCAAACTTCATTCACTATCATTCTCTATTTTTGTTAGCAATTTGATAACATAAAGTATTATTATCACTACTAGTTTTGTAGATTTTTTTACTCCCTCCGTCCCACTTTAGATTACAATATTCCCTTTTTGTTGAAATTAAGGAAGAGTCAAATCAAATTTTTTTCCCCCAAATTACCCCCAAGTGGCCCACTCACATGGATGAATAGTGTGTGAATAGTGTAGGAGTGGGAGGGTAAAAGAGTCAATTCCTTGTAAAGTTATTGACTTTGTAATTCTTTTTGGGACAAAAATGTGAGAGAATATTGTAATCTATTTCGGGACGGAGGGAGTATGTAGTTTTTAAATATGTAATTTTTCTTTTTTAACTATACACCATTTGTCATATTAAATGATTTGAAAATAATTTCAGTCAAACAACGTAAACCAAAATAGGCACTATAAATTGGGACGGAGGAAGCATTTACGAAGTAATTACCTTTTTTTAGCATTATTGGTAGGAGACTAGTAATTTAGGTATAAGGATGAGGTCGGGGCGTTCGTGGGCTTCATTAGTACGACCCTTACCTATTTCTCAATGCTTACAGGCCTCCGCTACACATGGGCTGTGCTGGCCGGATCACAAAAATATATGCCCGAGCTGTTATTTTTTTGGGTGGGCTTTTGCGTGTTGGGTTGACTAAAATATTATAGTAAAAACGAAGACATCAAATAAAATATTGTGCAGCATGTGGTCCGCTCACTCAAAGTATTGTCCATATGATCATATCAATTAGTGCACATATATTCCCAACTTTTTAAGACAGATATTTACTCTTCGTCCCACAAAAACAACTTTAAAAGGTGTTCAAAAACAAAAAAAAAACTATGATTATAAAAAAGTTCTACCTGTTTTTCAAAAAAATTAAAAAACTACTTTCTACATTTTATAAATTATTGTGGTCCTTTAAATTTTTCTCTTTTGCATTACTTTTAACCACATAAATTTATTTACGTATTTTTTAATTTTCATGTTAAGTCAAATGTGAAACTTTATATTGACACAAAGGTCACGGAAGGAGTACTAATTGTTTAGAAAAGAGAGGAGCAAAGTAAACCGCTTATTTCTTTCTTTAAAAAGAAAGTGAATTCCCGAAAGAAAAGAATATTTTACTTAACCCTTATTTAAAGTCCACGAACGAAAGTCGTTCCATGTAACACTATCTCCGTTGCAAAATACTTATCCAATTTCAATTTTTTGCAATAAAAATGTATACAATTTTAATTTTTAACCATTAATATAACATGTAATCTTTAGTTAATTATATATTAAAGATTGATCTGAATTGACCACAAAGAGATCAAAAACAAGACAAATACTCTAAAATAACAGAAGAATTTTGGATCTTAAATGCAAAAAATGAGATGATGCAAATTTAGTTTACACCCGGCACAATTAAACTACTTTTTCATTATTTAAATATTATACTCTCTTTTAAAAAAAAGCGATCCTACTCGTTATAATAAAGTGTCATATTTCACATCACAACTCAAGCGAACAGTTGTGTTAACAGCTACTGCCAACCAAATAAAGCAAAGGAGTCATCAAGATCCAATTAGTGGACTGAATGGCTCATTTGGTTAATTAAGCAGAAGTGAGAGACTCATCAATACGACATGAAACCGATGATAGAATAACGTAAGGAGTCATTATGGTTGTAGATCAAGAAAATTAACAGACGGTTCTTTTTTTCTTCTTCTTCTTCTTTTCCATAACCATAACCCCCCCCCCCCCATCCTTTCTTTTTTATACTTAGATTATAAAAGGGGATGTGNATCAGGATGGCATTAGAGGAATCCAGTTACTAGTACATAGACAATCCTCACTCCTAAAATATTAACCATGCGAATCCAAGAGATACAAAGCCACCACAGTAATTTTTTGTTTTTACCACAGTTGAGTCCATGAGATGCAGATGATCATACATGTTTTTTTTGTCTGGTCTGGTTTGGTTTGGGTTGAACCCTAGTTTAGCTACTAGGAAGTATCGAAGTAAAACAGATACTTACAAGTTACATCATCCCAAATAGCCCCCGGTTGGTGTATTTGTCGCCCGAGGTTTGCGCTTGGAACATCAAGTCTCCGTACGACCCGGAAAAATAGTTCAGGGCTCCTAATCTCTGGTTAATATCCATCTCTGTTGCTCCTCGCATCAACCCCACTGCCTCATTCCTGCATTGCATCTCTTCCAAGCCATGTTGTTGTTGGTACCCGCGGGGCAGAGAGAACGGTTGGGTCATGTTTGGTGTGGGTTGATGGAACCCGTAAGCATTGTTTGAACTAGAGAACTCGTTCCCACCATGTCGCCCAAGGAGCATTTGGTCATTGTGATGAGAGGGAGCAAAGATTTGAGATAGCTCTCCTGACTTTTGCTGCTGCATCAGTAGCCAAAGTCTTGTCTCTTCGTCAAGGGATCTCTGCTGTTGTGGTGCAAAAGCCCTGCCCATCTCAGTGTTCATTGACGAAGAGTTGCTTTTCACAAAGCTTAATATTGCAGGGTCAACAAACTCAGTGTTGCTGGCACTTCCTGTTGACCAAGTTTTTTTCGTTCAACACTGTTAATTTGTCACCAGCCAAAGTATGTTTTGTGTTATGCAAATGAGTTGTGTATATTACCAGAAGTACGGCGAGGAAACCCGCCAGCTCCATCACATGCAAACCCTGGAGGTGTATGCATAGTGGGCACTGAGAATCCAGGTGGGCCCAAACTTCGAGCTCTTTGCACTGTTAACCAAACATTAAGTAGTGTATGACACAATACTTCGTATATTGCAAAGGCCGCTAGAACAATATGAATGCAGGTATAGTATGGACCTATGTATAATAACACTTTTAAACTGAAAAAAAGAACAGTTAACTTATTACCAATGCAAAATATGAGTTTCTAATTATTATTTACCTTGGTACTGTGGCGGCTTACAAAGGTAGTGATCATTGTGTCCATCATAATCCGTGCCAGAACATGGTTTTGGTAACTGACCAATATTTAGGAATGAAGGCTCCAATGCATCCCCTTGACTAGGAATGCTGTTTTGATTTGTTAATGGGAGTCTTGTTTGACCGAAATTAGCAATATTTCGGGAGGAACTGTGATATCCACCGGCTTCATCATCAAAGTTCATTGACATGATATTTGAGATTATACTGCTCTCTACAGGACTAAAAGCAGGACTTTCTACATCATTACTCAATATGTCATCCTCGATTCTTCGCAAGTGCTCAACAATTTCTTCATTGGAAAATGAGTTAGAGCTTCTATACACCATATCAGTTTTGGCAGACCTTTGGAATTTCATATCTGGGTATCCTTCGCTTAATACCAAATTTGCACAGGACAGTGGTAATGAAGCTTCATCCTCTTGCTTATGTACAGTGCTGTTGTGTAAACTCAAGCCAATAGCACTTGAACAAGTCCCTTTATTATTCAATGGTAAATGACCACCAGTGTTCTCTCTATAGTTTTCCGGATGAGATGAATCAACAATAGATGCCATTTTCCATAAACCATTTGAATCCCGAGATCCTTGACTGTCTGGAGATATCAAATCTTCTCTAAACATTTCATCTGAAAACTCCCCAGAATTCTGATCCCTTTGCATGTGACTTGCAACATAACTAGAGGATGAAACATTGGAATGTGGTGTTTCTGAATATGGATCATGGCCTTGATTTATTTGCATTTGATTGGCAAGGTTATTTGAAGATGAAGCATTAAAATGCTGTGTATCTGAATATGAATCCTTGATGTAATCATCTCTACTGATGGATAGTCCTGACATGTCAGGGCTTAAATTCAAACTCTTCCAACTATGACTACTATTTCCATCATTCTCTGGATCAGATCTACTGGATCTACCAACAATATCTACAAAGGAGGTTGGTCTTTTGGGTACACTAGGACCTCCTTCCTTATCATTACCGGAAAGTGGTCGAGAATTGTAACTGCCACTGGAACTTAAATTGCCATTGGTTGTATCCTGTAACCAGAGGACATGTACTGATTTAAGAATCTATGATGTACAGGCCAAATTATCTAATTGAAATGTTAACAACTATAAACCTCGTGATCTAAAAAATGCTGGTGTTTGATTATCTTCAAATATCAAGTAAAGTTAACAACATATGAGAACTGTTCAACAGCAAAATGTCTTACAAGAGCATTTTGAGCCAGAGGTTTCTCTGTAGAATGGTTCCCAATATTGGCAATATCATCCACTGGAGGGGGCAACATACTTCCAGAGCGACGTATCATATTAACTGTGGCACCAGCAACTTGTTGAACTCTATTTCTGTACATACAGAAAACAAAATATTAACATTTGAGTAGAAGCAAATATAACAATATGGAAAAACAAAGAAGTCTGGAGCACAATATCCTAGAAAAATGTTACTCCGTATATAGGAAATCATCAACCAAACCAATAGGCCAACAGCCATAACTATTTTCTACGATAAGAAAACAATATTTTCCAGGAATGCACATATTAATGATATTACTACAGAAAGCAGATACACTAATGAGAAACCATGACATTCCAACATCAGTAGTAAATAAAACCACCATCAACCACTTAGTCTGCACAGCTCTAAACAAAAGCATCATATTCACGCAGCATGAATGAACATTTTTGTGTGAATTTCAAAGTATTGCACCCCCACACCCAAACCACTAAAGCACATACAAGTCTTAAACAAACTAAATTTCTTGGTTGCCAACTTGATCATATTAGGATTATCAAGTTGTTTAAGGTGAGCATTATATAGTACTCCACACTAGCACTTAAACCTTTCCCATCAACTTCGCATAATACAAAGTCAATGATCCATGAAATGAATGAACATAAGTGCTAACACATAACCAAGTGTGTACACTCATACCTAGTGTGAATTGCAGCTGTCTCATCTTTACCAAAACTATCTTCATCAGCACCAAGGGAATGCAAATATAGACATGAGGTGTTGTTACAAGGCTGGAATTGATGAGAAGAAATGTTGTTACTCTCACTTCTTGAAAAAAAATTAATTATCAACAAAACAAGAGTGAAATTTGAAATTCGGTTTTCTGATACCATGTTTCTCAACCAGGCATGACAATATTTTGCAGTTCCAAATGAAGCTCTGCACAGGCCACTTTCAAATGTAAATAACAAAAAAGCCACATCAATGATACAACTACAGGTAGAGAGAGGGATAAAATGCTTACCTCAAAAACCTACCATCCAGGACAAAGCCATGTACTGACTGAATACATCTCACAGCCTCCTCCTCCTTTGAATATGTAATATATCTGAAAAGAAATATAACTAACTGAATCATATGCATGAAACATACCCTAGCTGGCTAATAAACACCATTGGAAGGAAAAATCATAGCAGAATGGTATTGGCAGACTAGTATTTTCTTCGGGCAAATTGCTCCCTGCATTCTTTGATTTTTATAAATAGCATGTAGTCATAACACAGTGAGCCTAGAACTTCACCTGCAACTCATAATGAGAGTTCTTTCAAGTGCAATGAACATTAACTGTATAAAAACATAGATCAGTTCTTTCTAAGTCAAAGTTTGCAAAAATCTAGAATTAGCTGGTCCCATGAACTCTGATAAAGATGTTTCACTAAAGAGCAATTATGGGTAGCCACTGTACTATTGCAACACAAGATGTCAAGTTGATGAAAAACAATGTTATTGTACATTCAAAATCAGCAGCCGGGAATCTTATGACACAAATTAATCATGAAGGGTTTTTTTAAGACAAAAGCAAAAAAGATGTCAAAAAAATATAAACAAGGTTGATGAAAATTCATCACAACTCATACTCCTGGCATCCCTAATAGAACATGACAGTTAGACTCTACGAAGTTTAATAAAAGCGCCGAAAGTTGAAAGATGTTTGATGAAAAGTAAAAAGCGTAATCCCAAATCTATTGGGGTCAGGGCTAAGATGTGCACAGTCTTATCCTTTTAAAAACATAGACTCTCTCCGTTGCACACTTACACCCTAGATGCATTCCTCCAATTACTGCCTAAAACTTCACAGGAAGTAAGAAGCAAGGGAAGTTTAATGCTCCATTTAGATTTAGTCCAATATGTGCCTGAAGCTAAAACATTGTCAATAATGACTTTTTTAGCTCCATTGGCAATGGACGGGGAATCAAGAAATACATAAATGGAAAAGCAACTCAACTTCTAACAGTCTTAGAGCCATATTAAAATTCAACACAAGTCAAATAGCAGATTACACATTTGATTTCTAAAAGCAGATTCAATGAAATTTTGGAAAAGATTCAGTTTCGGAGATCTTAGGCTTACACACTACAGGAATCATTTATGAATTGCTGAATTGCACCACCAGCCGTACGAGATAGAGACACCTTAGTAACTTTTCCATACTGGCCAAAATATTGCTTTCGTTGCAACAGCTGTTCATTTAAACAAAAAACAAAGCAAAACACTATCAAGATTATTTAAATTGATACAAATACAGTTTGATTCATCCACCGTGGCAAAAAAGAACAAAACAAAAACAAAGAAAAACTGATCTATTGTCAAAATGTATCAAAGAACTAAATATCTATATTGAAAAAATAGGATTTACATCCATACATCTTCATCGGCAAGAGTAAGAGGCAGCCCAATAACATATGCCATTTTCCGTTGAATAACCCTAACATTTGTTAGATCCTTCTTCACTTCATTTGTTTTAGGTTTTGCCTTTGGTGGTTTGGTTTTCCCATTAGCATGACAGTTCTTCACCCTATTAGCAAATAAAGCATTGTAAAGAATCCAAATTTAGAGGCTAAACAATATATACTGCTCATTAGTAATGAAGGTGTTGACCTTTCAATATCAGTTTGCATTGCAACTACTTTTTCCTTGTCATAAATTGATCGACATGCAGGACAACGACCTTCTGTCTCCTCTTTCTCTGCCATGTCCATTATATGATGCCAACACCACACACACATCTGTAGAAGTATCAAGCATAATAGAAACTAGAAAACAATACAAGATTTCAAAATATTGCTTCTAGATTGAAAGGAAAAGATAGCTTAGAACCCACCACTCAACAAAAATAAAAAGAGCATTAATGTTATTCTAGTCTAGAAGATGTCAAAAAAAAATCATCATATTGATGATGTGTTTTAATAGAAGGAACCAAATGGATGACCGGATATCCCAATGGACGGGGAGAGGGATAGGGAGAAGGAGAATGAGAGAGAGAGAGAGAGTGAGTGAGTGATACGGTTGCTGAAAGGATGTCGAGCATATAGCCAGTGTCACGGAACTTATATAGCTTAACTAAATGGGGTAACATTAATCAACTTAACCTTCTCCCTAAAACAATCAACTGCTTAGATATCATCTATCATTCACAAGGCACAACACTTCCTCCAGATTCTTTGACATATTATTGCTTAATGATGACTTCAATTACAGCCACTACTTTTTGTTCTTTAAGTAATGCAAAAGAGACTCATTTATGTTATCCAAACAGAGATTCTTCCGGCTTCACAGTTACTATTATAAATGTGGATCTTTTTTACAATGTACCGAAAAACATACTTCCTCCGTCCCCATATTAAATTCATAGTTTGACTTCACAAAGTTTAAGAAAAAGTGTTGATTTGGAGCCAAAGTAAGTATTATAAAGATGAAGCTATTACTGCCAGAATAACTGCATTAAATCTTAATTGTCTACTTGTTACTATAGAGTGAGTATATTACGCTCATACTAATAAAGAAGATACCATTTATGTGGAAAGTTTCTCCATAAACACACATTTCTTCATCAAACACTCCAAGGAATGGCCTTTAAAATGTGTTGAGTTTGTGATCTGCTTAGCAACTATATTAATTACACACACATTTCTCCATACACTTGCACTATCACATACCTAATAATAAGGATGGAGCAAAGGAGCACATACAAAAATCTGAACATTCAAAGATGCCAACTTTATAATCCATTTGGTGTTTTGAATTAGTTAACAATCAAAAGAGAGCTATGTAAGACCATCGCGTAACCGGATAACCCTCAAAAAAAAGAATATGATACATTTGTTGGTGATGTGTAGTCATCGGCCCAAAGTGGCCCACTTATAGACAACTGAGAGTTAGGAGACCAGATTAGGGTTTCGGCCGGCCCAAATGGTTTTAAGCCCAGTTTGCTATAACTTGTCCAGCAAGGGTTAAACCCTAATTAGTTGTCTATATATATGATCTCCTGTACTTGTAATCATTATAACTCAATAATACAAACCCTAGTTGCCCCTGTGGATGTAGGTCAGATTAGACCGAACCACGTTAAATCTCGTGTTCTTTATCGCTTTCTTGCTTTATATTCGTGTGTGCTTTTGTTCTTAACAACTGGTATCGGAGCCTAGGTCATACACACAGATCTGCCTCCACTGCCAACCCTAGCGACTCTAGGGTTTCTGCCGACACATCAGAAGACCACCGAGATAGTCATCTGTGGGGAGTCCGAACAACCTTGCTGTTCAGTTTGCTGCTGCAATTTTCGAGGTCAGTTCTGGTTGTTTGTCTCAATCTGTTCTCGCGTGTTCTCTGGTCAGATCTGGGATACTCAGAAGAGATGATGTCTGAGGACGGAAAGATCAGGATAGAGAAGTTTGATGGGCAAGATTTTGGATGGTGGAAGATGCAAGTCGAGGACTTGCTATGTCAGAAAGATCTTCTTCCATGTTTGACAGGTCAGAAACCCGAGAAGATGAAGGATGAAGAATGGGCTGACTTGGATAGAAAAGCCCTAGCCGTCATCAGGTGCACTTTGACAAAGAGTGTGGCTTTCAACATCGTGAAAGAGACCACTGCTCGTGGGGTTATGACAACGTTGTCAAACATGTATGAGAAACCTTCCGCGTCTAATAAGGTATTCTTGATTAGACAGTTAGTTAACACTCGTATGCGGGAAGGTGGTTCTGTTACTACTCATATCAATGTTTTCAATACCATTATATCCCG